TCTTAGTGCTTTGCAACACAAGTCTTGTTGCAATTCTGAATGGTTATTCTTTTTTATTCACGAGCCATTGTGCCTTTGCAACAAGTATTGTATTGCGCTTTTCAACATGAGCCTTGCTGTAACCCTAGAAAAGTTTCTCTTTTCATTTTTTGCAACACGACATGGAGTTGTGTGAGCCGTTGAGCCTTTGCAACAAACCCTGTCTTGCACTCAGTGTTTTGCAACACGAGACTTATTGTGATCCCCTGAATACTTTGTTTTCCATTGTGATCCCCTGAATACCCAGCCAATCGTCAGCTATTTACAACATGGCTCATGTTCAACTTGTGGTTTTGTAACAAGTCATGGTGCAGACAGCTCAGCAGGGCACGTGGTGTGCGGATGATGCAACAGAATTTTCACGCCCGCTAGGCCTGCTGGATGGAAATATTTTCAAAAAAATATTGGCGTTTAGTGTGCAGTGTGTCAAAGATAAACAAATAGAATGTAAAAATCAAAATCGCCAGCCTCATTTTATTAACTTTTTTCTAGAAAAATCTCATTTTTTTTAGCTGTGGATAACATTTTCTCGCTTGTTCAGACTTGCCAGCAAACCAGATAACCATAGGCTCCAGGCACTATTTTTCTCGAGCTAGACGTTGTGAGGAGCTCCGTTCGTGTAGTCTAGTAGCAGCAGTGGCGGCTTGCCCTTTGAAGGTGGAGGCATGACGTACTAGAGCGGGTCTGCAACCGAAGCTATGTACTGGAGGCCCCACGCGCATTTGACTGACAAAACTGACGGGAAAGAAAAACAAATGTGTGGGAGTCCGGGGACACGTGGTTGGCTGGCAAGGCGACTTATGCGCGTGACGCATCAGAGCAAGTACAATAAGGTGACATAAGCAGATTATAAGGATTAGAATATTATATTTTCGCTTAGTTGGAGAAGAGAGAAGAGAGAGAAGAGAAGCGGGCTCTTGGTTAGTAGCCGGCTCTAATACGAGCCCAAGACGCTTTGTGAGGTTGTAAGGTGGTCCATACTAATAAAGTAGTACACATATAAAACTTACTATTGTACATGCCGGCTACAAGGTTGGCTCTATATGACATGACAACTCCTTATAGCCGATTGTTGGCTGTGTTATTAACCTTGCGATCATCGGGTTGAATTATAGCGATTTCCATTGTTTATTTGTGATATTAATTTCTTGACTCGAGGCCTGTCAATGTTCACTGTCCCACAAGCTTCGCTACTCGGTATCCCTAGCTGTTGCTAATCAAGAAGTCATCCCTTGTACTCCCTATATCCCGCGAAAAGCGTACATAGCATTTTCTTAGGACAATGCATTGGGAAGATGCAAATCACCATCTCTTTCCTTTTTTATTATTCAATCTCCAATTAGCTAGGTGCATGTAGAAATTAAGGAGACCATGTTTAGAATGTTATTCGTCTTTACCGTGTGATGAAAGAAAAGCATTTTTTCTACTTTAAAGTGCATCAAAAAGATTGAAGTACACTCCTTTATGAACAAATTTTAAAGTCACATGTACACTCTTCTCCAGTCGGATGTAGTAGCTAGGTTGTTATTAGTCTTCTCGAAGTGAGGATTATCATACATATGATATTATCATACGATATTACATCTATAGTGCATAATATTGTACTAGGTTAATATTATATATGTTCTCATTTATTGGCATAACTCATTGTAGCGAATCATTTATTATGATACAGTACAATGAAATTATGCATACCTTTTGTTTTTTAATTTAGTTTTATGTCAACTCAGTAAAAATTGCTAGTTGATATGCATGATACCACTACGGAAGGTCTAAGCAAGTTGACACATTTATTTTATCTGGACTCAGGAGACTCATGAAAATAATTTGAAGAGTAGACTTTCGTAATTAAGAACTCATCACAGTTTAATCATAGTTCTGATCATTGATTGATTTATTTATATATGATGGGAACAGCTTGCCATGTCTTGATCGAGACAATGCTGCAAAATACTTCAACTGCTTACCGGACTTGCTAAGGAACACATGCATGTCCTCGATCTATGCATTGCCAGTGGCGTGCTAGACCAAGCTTGCTTGATTACGCGTGGTTTGCGTACTTGAACAATCCTTGGTCGCCACACGGTTCAAACTTTCTCCCATATGAAAAGATTTTCTTTGGGCCCGAAACATAGAACAATCATTTTATGGCATTGAACTCAGTAACACTCGTGAATTCCTGGCAATAACACTCGTTTCTGGGAGGATACTTGGCTGGGTGAAACGCCGTTGGCGCTTCAATATACGTCGTTGTATCGTATTGTGCAGCGACGTGATGCTCTGGTTGCAACGAGTTTGTACTCCACTCTCCTTAATATTCAGTTTAGGAGGGTGCTTATTGGTGACCGGTGGGAAGCATCACTAGTAGAAAAGGGGGCAATGGTCCAGACCGGGTCAGCCCATTAATCCCGCTTCAGTCCAGAACCGGGACCAATGGTGGCATTGGACCTGGTTTGTGAGCCCCGGGGGCCGGCCGGGCCACGTGGGCCATAGGTCCCGGTTCGTCTGGTCCTTTTGGTCCCGGTTGGTGGGACGAACCGGGACCAATGGGCCTCGCTCCTGGCCCACCACCATTGGTCCCGGTTGGTGGCATGAACTTCATGCCACCAACCGGGACCAATGAGGTGCCTATATATACCCCCTCGCGTAAGAGCAGAGCACACTGCTCTGTTTTTTCTGGCAGCCGAGGGGGAGAGGGCTTGGTGGTGCTCTAGTTCACCTTCTATGCACACAATGTGTTTGATAGAATGCCCGAGCCACACTACTTAAGCTTTCTCCTTTCCAAGCTCGACCTCCAAGCTCCATTTTCCTTAATATTTGTCTAGGTTTAGCGGTCCGTCATGCCCCGTCCCCGTCTTCACCGCCGTCGATCACACGCGCCGATCTCATCACCGGCACCATCGTGGTGAGGCTCTTGTTCTTATCTTCTTTCTGAAAGGAAAAATATTCTTACATGTATGTTTAGATAGATACTTGTATTATTTTCTTACTTTTATTATTGCATCTTATATAGTGTGATGGTTTTGGTATCCGCCCCCGTCGGCCCTCGTCCTGTCTATGATTCGGATATGGTATATATTATCTTTTCATAACTATTGGTTCATTTATTGTTTATGAAAATTATGCCAACCAATGTGACATAGATTTTATTTATCTAGGAGGTTGTTGAACCGGAAATTCCAACCGACCCTATTGTCGAGAGGTTAAATTTAATTGAAGAAGAAAACAATTTCTTGAAGGAAAAAATAAGAAAAATTAAGGAGGAGAAGATGATATTGGAGTTGCATGTTGCGGATGTCGTCGATGATCACAAGATCAAGATGGATGCAATACGCTTGAAGATTAGAAAGATTAGAAAATATGCCATTCATACCGAGGCTTGGTATTATTATGCCGTTGGATCAGTTGTTACCTTGGTTGCGATTATGATCGCATTTGTTTTCGCATTGAAATGTTTTACATAGTTTCAATGTATGGTTTAATTAATTTAGATGCTCTGCAGAGCTTTATGTTGTTCTGTAATGATTTTCGCTTGAAGATGAGAACTATGTATGTACTTTGGTTTTAATGTGATGATGAACTTCTATTAATTTGGTCACTTAATTATCTATTCATGATGTTCTGTAATGATTTTTGACACACTTAATTATATATAATGCACGCGGATGAACCGGCAATGGATGTATGGTAACAGACACACCTCCAAGTACATTAAGGGCGTGCATGATTTTCTCGAAGTGGCTGAGGCAAACAAGCAGAATGGTTTTATGTGTTGTCCATGCCCTATATGTGGGAATAGGAAGTCTTACTCTGACCGGAAAATCCTTCACACCCACCTGCTTTACAAGGGTTTCATGCCACACTATAATGTTTGGACGAGGCACGGAGAAATAGGGGTTATGATGGAAGACGGCGAAGAAGAAGAGTACGATGACAACTATGTGCCCCCAGAATACGGTGATGCTACTGAACATC